TGCTTTGCAGGTGTATGGCCCAAACTGAATTGGGCTCACCTATGTTATTTACTGAAGAACAACAGTGTCCTCTAATATATAAATACAGAATTATTAACAAAAGCTGCATTCTTTCTCAAGAAAACATATCTAATTGGAATCTAAAATTCAGAAACTGTATACATATTAGAAAGCACACAGCAAATGTAGAAAATTAAATATACAGAACAATTAGAACTTTCTGAATTTTCTTTCCTGTGAATTAGATCAGATATTCCAAGCTTTTCTAATGTACTCTGGGTATTTTAGTATTTTGTAGATGTGGAATTAGATCTTGAGTTACATTCTTTTGGTAAACTTAAAAAAAATCCCCAAACATTGTATTTACAATCCAAACAACAAACTTTTTTCAACAGCTCTTTGTCAACTCAAGAGCTCCTGTAACCAAGACCACTGGGATAAACTGAGACATACCCAGACTTCTGAAATCCAATAGCCAAAAAAATTAATCTTCCAGTGAAGCAATGCCAGAAATTATGAAGCAATAAAAACAGTTTTCATATAACAATGCAGTAAAGTTTTGCTTAATGGGAAAGAATAATTTTTGGTTGCTAAATACAGATATAATGTGGAAAAAATCAAAACACTTGAGATTAGTCTAAACACCATGAGGGAGATTATGACCAAATAGTGATTACTTACTGATTGCCAATTTTATCACTAGATAAAAAGACATAAACCCAGTACATTTGGACTTATTACACTCAACCATTATTCATTACAGCATTTTGACATTTAAGGCAGGACTTTGTTGCTTGGAAACTAAAATGTTTTAAAGGAAATAATGAGTTATCCTTTTAAAAAGCTCACAGATGATATATGTCTGTTAAATGATGAAAATCTTTGAATAGTCAAGGACTAAAGCATTCAAACACAAAACAAAAGCTATTAAGCAAGGATGTATTTCAACATCAAGAACAAAACTCTCCCCCTCATTTATCTAATTTTCAAAGGGGAATTATGACATTAAATACTTGAGAAAAATTTATTACAGTGATCACTATTCTAAATTATGATTTATGATTCATGGAAACTCAAAAAGACCAATTCTTACATTGTGTAAAGATGCCAAGATAAAAAGCACTACATAGAGGAGATTATACATTATTCACATCCTCAGGAGGATGAAAATGTTCTGTGAGAACTCTGCAGAAGTTCAGTGCTTAAAAGGGCAGAAATCTTAGCCTCTTTTTACCCCTCATCTAAATATGTCTTGGTTTAATGAAAATCTTGTGGTCTTGAGGACTTCAAATTTTGCACACTTGGCAAGCTCACCCTTTCAGTCATTCTTGCAATCAACTATTGCTTGATAAGGTTGGTCTCAAATAGTGCACATGTATTTAAATAAACTAGAGAACATGTATCAAATGCTCCCTAAGAACTAACAGCTTCTTTAAAATACGTTTAAGCTAACTTTAAAATGTTGGGTAGCACTGACTGTGTACTTCGAATTGCAAATGGATGGTTACAGGACACCTGGAACAGACAAGCTACAAAGATGGCAGAATGCTTCACAGAGAGAAAATACTAACAAGGTGATGCAATTTTAAAACTACAAAACTAACTGAACATTCAGAAGGCTTCAGGGTGCAAGTTTTCAAAGCTAAGTCTGTTTGCATTGAAAGTAGTGATTTAACTACTTTGCCCAATGTTTTGATAAAGAAGTCTTGATTGTACCTCATCACTACATTGCAAGAAATCCCCATGTTCAGTATCTGAGGTTATTGGTATCTTTTAAAAAGAAAATGGCCCCAACCTTTAGCTGCTTTACACACATGCAATACTCTCTCCAAGACAGATTATGCCTAGAAAATTTTCTAAATGTTTCAAGCGTGATACATTTCAGGCTCTTATTCCCTTTAAAAGCATAAACAAATAACTTCTTAAATAAAGGCTGTGTCCGTTTTTCGGCAGAGGAGGAACCTGCTTATAACTTTTAATAAAGATCTGACTGATCTTGTGCCAGAAACTATTCTGTTGTGCTGTGATCTTTCCTTCCTGCCCCCACCATCAAGCATTACCAAAAAGTGTTACATAGAATAAATTACATTAAACATTTGTGTTTTGTAACACATAACAGGTATACTCTTCAAGAGATATAGTTCTTCCTCTGAAAAGCCACAGACAGAAGGCAATAGCCTTTAGTGCAATAACTTTTATATGTAGTATTTAACTGTTAATTTAGGTATGATACTTAAACATACATGCCTCTATATGATCCATTTAACCTGTATTCCAACTGGAACACCCTGGTCAAGAAGAATAATCTATTGGAAACATCCTGAACCTCTTAATAATGCTGGCAGACTTGCATTTACCTAAAGTATACCACACATTTGCATTTTGCTTACAGTAAATTGTACAACAGTATCTATATGAGCAATAAAACTAAGACAAGTTGTCTCTAAGCAGCAGAAAGAGCCTCATTCAAGCTTTATGACAAAAGGTAAGTAAACATACTAGAAATAAATATTCAAAATAAACATACATGACAAAAAATTATTTAGAACTTAGGAATTAGGTGGTCATTTCTGAAGAATGTAAACAACAAATACTTAAACAAACAATTTCAGAGGAAAACTTCTTAGGACTACGTTATTACTTGCGAGCATATAAACATTTTCAGCAGCCTCATACCTATGGCAGAGACTGGATGGTGTTCTGTTCCTTTTTTCCAGGAAAAAAACACAACACAAAACAAAATACAATGTATTCAGGTAACTCATTGCAGTTTTGTACTGACTATCACGCCAAGCACAGTTCTTTCCTGTTACTTAGATGTGCTTAGATGCCTATAAAGTGGAAAAAATAT